TTTTGTCAAAGAAAGTAGGTAACAATTAAGATAAAAAGAAATGCAGAATGATTCTGATAAGGAAGAAAAATGGCTTTAGAAATGGGTGAAGAGAATTAACCGACGACGCTCCAGCAAATTCACAGAATTAAAAATAATAATTAGGAATGAAGCTAAGGTAAGGAAACATTGGAGACCTGCAGGGGAATTACAATGTCAGAAAAATGGAATTAATGGGGAAAAAATGGAAAAATGGAATTAAAACAAATGTTATAAGTACTAATGTCCAAGAAGAAAAAAATGATGAAAGGAAATCATAGATGTTGTAAAGTATTTAAAAATGATAAAGCTGCTGTTACAGATGACGTAGTTCAAGAACTCTTCAAATATAAATGAAGTTTGTTGAAGGAATGGCTGCATAACTCATTTACATGTGTGTGAAAACTGAATCTATGAATGGTGAGTAAGTGTAATACTATGTGGGGAGGGGGAAGAATCATAAACTAGGCAACAATCAGGTAAGAGGCATAGTAAACATCTCAGAAGGAATCCTTCCTAGTTTCTTGTATTGTAAAGGTAAGTGAGGAAGAGATGTACATTCTCGACTACTTGCAAAGCTAATAGTAAAGCTAGTAGTCTCCTAATGCAAACAGAAATATGCACAAGTGATTTCAAAACCTAAAGAGGCATTAGCTCATTAAATATAGTTGAAAAGATGGCAGAAATCTAACTTATAAGATTATTATAAGCAAATTTTCTGAAGAAATTTTCCTTATTTCAGAGGAAGGATTTGCAGGCCACATTTTTGCTCTTCAGCAATTTTAAATGACATTTAAATCTAATATCATAGATTAGTTGCAGCACAATTTTAAATTGTATCATTTTGCACTTCATCATAGATTGAAACCCTTAATATTTTCCATCTATGACAAATTTAAATCCACCTGCAAAGAACTGTATCTGTTCCCAAGTCCAGATAAAGGAAGAGGCTTAGTTTCCTGTTTAGGAACCATAAAAACAGGCATGAAACTCTGGGAATAGGGGGAAAAATGCCAGACTGAAAATAATGTTAACACCTTCAGACCTGTATCAGCAGAGTCAGATCACTGAGGTCAGGATGGTGATGAAATACATCCAGACAAAATGCAAAATTATGAAATACTTTAAATTGGCTGCTAGAATGTCTGAACTTGCCTCCAAATAATAATAGTTTGTGTTTGGTATAAAATTTAAATTGCGGCATTATCAGAATTGTGACTTCCTGGATCCCAAATTTCCACATGAAATGTGCTACTCTGCAGGCTAGGATCTTGCAGAGTTGTTGGCTTTGTTTGTAGACTGCGTTGTTTCCAAAAATACTGTGAGCTTTTAAACAGTCTCGAGTTGACCAGCAGTTTTGTCCCTTTTAGTAATAATAAAATCATATATAATTACAACTTAGGCTTCCACGGGAATATGCAGAGATAACGCGAAAGAACAATTCTGTGCATAGTTACAAATTATCCTGAATTCATTACTTAAAATATTTTAATCTTATTGCTGGTGACTGGAATGCTCACGCTGGCAGTAATAGAAAAAGGCTGGGAATTACTGAGCAAATGACAATGGCCTATGCTGCTTACGATTTGCTGTGCTAAGTAATTGGAAACAGCTTATTTCAGCACCCACTAAAATATCAATTAAGATAAAGGTCACTCGGTGGAAAAGATAAATCAGACCTTGACTATTTTCTTAGCAACTGCTGGTTCTGAACATCATTCATGGAAGTCTGATCAATGAGAGACTTTGATTATGATTCTAACTGTAATCTTTTATGTGCTGTCCTACAACTGAAATGAACTGCTCCTAATACAGCCACTCCCAAATACTATGAGTGAGTGAAACTACAAGATCCTACTTCCAAACAATTGATCCAAATAATGCTCACCAACCAATCTGCATCCCTGAATATCCCGAAGATGTAAACAACTAAATGCTACAGTTCTCAGAAATAATTAACAAAAGCACCAAATAAATGTTTCTATATCATAACAGTAAATGAGAACATGGATTTCAGTTGAATGCCTAACATGGTAGACAAATAAAATAATGTATTGTAAATCCAATGATACAATACTGACAGCCTAATAAGGAACTCTACCCCTGCCTGAAAGCAGTATGGTCTACCTAGCATTGCAAAAGAATTTCAAGAAACTACATGTTTCCATAAATATTGCACTTTTTAGACTATAGTAACCCTGCACAGATACATTTCAAAGCTTTCATGACAACATCCAAAACACAAATGACACTTTTACTGTATATGGATAGAATTGAATTGATTGAGTCACTGGCATGAATACTCCCTGTTCCGGAAGAAACCACCACCACTTCTTAACTGTCCAGATGGAACCACTTAAGAACATGAGCTCAGGATCTGTGAAATAAAAGCTGTCACCTATCAATTTAAAAAGTTGGAAAACAACTGATGCAGATGAAATCACTACAGAATCACTAAAGATGGGTGGTGATACACTAAATTGTCAACTTATTCCTCCAAATGAACTAACATACTGAGAAAATAAAGACAATTTTAAAAAATCACATTTTCAACAAAGAAGTCAATCAGATGTGCAAGAATTACCAGGGGATGCCCTGGTATTAATTACAAACAAGGTATTTAAGAAAGCAATACAACAAAGTTTTCAGAAATTGCCTCAGAAAAATAGGCTGGCTTCCAGTGGGAAGAGGATGCTGTGAACCAAATATTTGTATGTATCAGCAAATACTTGAGGAATGCATGAAGTGTGGAAAGAAATCATCCTGAGTTCATTGACTTTGCAGCAGCTGACAGCTTGCATCAGCCAGTGCTATGAAAAGTACTCATAACACAAATTATACTGGCTAAAATAGTACATCTCCTGCAGCAGGTATAGGTAATCCTCAGTTAACAATGGTAATTTGGACCAAAATTTCAGTTCGACAAGTGATGCGGTCATAAACTGTGACATCATGTGACCGCATCACTTAAATTATGGCAATCCCAGCATTCCTTGTTGCCATCATTATGCAAGGTTCATGGGTCATTAAACAAGTCCCAGACAGGTACCAGCAAACCAACAGCAAGTACATTGTGGGCAAGGTAAGGGGGGTGAGGCTGCTGAGTTGGGGAAGGTGTGTGAGTGCCCCACAAGGCACAGTATGAACACGGCTGAACAGGCAAGCTGCTACCAGGTAGACAGGTATGAGTGACTTACTGGAGCAACTAGCAATCTTCCCTGCCAGCTTTTCTAATGACTTTGTGACTTTGCTTAGGTGAGATGTAATTCCAAGGTGTGAATGACTATGTGGAAGAATAAATTAAACTTATACAAATGGATTTACTGATTTCAGCAGTTGGATTTCATGATTTGGGAGACAAATGTATTTTCTTCATGGTGAGATTTCTTTTGGGGAATCAGGCCACTGATATAGAAAGAAATCTCCTGATTGCACAATTTAGAAAGTGCCTCAATAGTTATGTGGTTGGATTTTAAATACTAATTTGGTTTCATATTTTAATTTTGTTTTTACATATTTTATTGTATATTTGTAAGCCACCCAAAGCAATCAAGAAAATGAATGGCTCGTAGATCTTTTAAATAATTAATAACTGTAATATGATTTATCACAGAGTTTCCATAAATGGGAATCTAATCTGAGTGTCACTATTTAATGGGAGGCTCACCTCAAATTTATAGTTTTTCAACTTCAAAAACTGTCATCCATCCATCTTGCTGTCAGCTGATAATATAGTTAAGAACATGTATATATCTTTAGATAATATGAAAATATGTACGTGCAACTATAGTAAATGTGACTTTTAATAAGTGCTATAATGATATAAGTATCCTGCAAAGAAAGGAAAATACTATGACAAGCCTGTTTTCAATAGCCTGGTAATATCTATCAAAAACTCCATAAAAAAGGGATGTTACTGACAAGAGAAAGATAAAACACTCATCAGAAGTCGTTTTTTGGAGTAATAAGGACCTATCCTTCTTGAGACAAGGAATATTAATGGAGAGAAACCAGCCAAATATTGGTGGAAAATATAAATGTTACTTTTTTAATGAAAATATTTCATAATGCTCATTGTTTTTTATTGAAGGATTTCATTTCTATATTCCAGTGAATGCAAATTTAAATGTAGCTTAGCGTAAGGGCAAAAGACCAGAATAATTTCAAAATAATTTCCTTTCCTTGGCCCGTCTCACACAATGTACCAAGTCAAATGAAGATAAGAGCCATTTGCTCACATCAACTAATTTTCTTCACTAAAATTACCTATTTTATTTCCATTCTAGTGAGATATGGGAAATAAGTTTTTTTAAATAACTTTTAAAATACTTCTTGTAATAATGATTTAATACATTCTCTAATGCAATTTTTACCTGTTTTTCCTTTAGCATACTCATTTAAAACAAGGCTGCAACACTTAACTCTTCTATATTATTCGCACAGGTTTTGGGACGCATTTTGCCTTCATCTGCATATCAAACTGTGCCAACTGTTCCGTATGAAAAGAGCCTGAGTTCTGATCTTTTCATTACCGAGTATCATTCATAAAGGGTAAACAACAATCTTCATCCTTTCCAGAAATCTTCATCATTACTAAACAGCTAAAATTGTCAAGGATATCTCAATTCGTAGCAGCCCGTTTAAAGCTCGAAGCAGGTGAGGAATGACATTTCCATATACATCATTCATTCACATGCAAATATACCTAATGGTTTCAGCATAATTGTTGGGACATAAAAGTTATCTTTCCTGCTTTTGCACTCATGCCCTCACAAGCCTGTCTCCTCCTAGTAGGTTTAAGTAACAATGTCCAGCAGTTTAAATATTATATAGGTCTCATAAATTACAATATTCCCCGCAAGATGCATATAACATGGTACTTTTGCATTACATGCACAGTGAGCCAAAATCCAACTTTATCCTTTGGCTGTAATGAGTTCCTTTTGTCAAAGAAAATAAAAAGTACAATTTTATGAACTTACTTGAAATGCAAATCCTTGAAGGTAAAATGAGTCTCTACAATGCCTGTAGTCTTCACTCTGGTTCTCAGCACATCTTGCTGAGTTGGAATATAATCCATTTTGGCTATCCTCTCCAAATCATTCAGGTAGCTGCAAAAAAATAAATAAATGGGGGGGTTAACAAACTATGTTACCTGATGTCCTCAAGATGTACTAAACCTTATACCAGCAGTACATGATATCATTCGTAGCTAGCATAGCTATTATCTCATACCCTGAGGAAGGCTTCTTTAGAAAAATGAAAACTCAGAAACTCGCAATGAACAGATAAGACATATCCATTGGGTGGGGTGGGGTGTGTGGGAGAAAGGAAGGCAACAGAATAATTATCCTTATTCCATGTGTCTTAATTCTCACAATCTCTTCCTAATCAGTTTTCCGAAAGGTGCTTTTTCCAAAAGGCTTTTCTTGGGTTTTTGTTTTTTTTTTGAAAACATTTCACACCTCATCCAAGAAACTTCTTCAGTTCTAACCTAAGAAACTAACTTCAATTCTAACTCCCTAATCCGTTATTTCCATGTGAATGGGGACTAGCATGCTCACTGTGTATAAAAATCAAAGATGAAAAACACAAAGGGACATTTTACTATGCATGGTGAACTTGCGAAAAAGCCAAGAAATTCTGAATACAAATATATACACGTATACGTATACATATACATACATACACACATACATGGAATGTTAAAGCTTACCATTGCAAAGAAATTGGGACTAATGTATATTTAATTAGAAAATACTCATGGAAGATTTTGTATATGGTAATGGCAGAAGATTATCACATGCACAAAGATGGAAGAGATTTACTTTGTCCCGTCCTAGTTTATGGAACTCTTATCCTCTCCCACCCCCAAGCCCAGAGGTATGAATGATCCCAATTTTATTCGTTAATATTCTATCAGGCAGCTAAGGCAATTGAGAGACCCTCTGGCCCCTAATAGCTCTAAATCACAACAGTCATCTATATTTAATTTTGGGGTTTGCTGTAGACTACCTAGATTCTTCCAGGATTGGACTGACTATCAGTGTTGAAATAGGAGAGAGGAAAATAGAATCCTACATTACCACCTAAGATATATAACTCTCTCCAAAATCCTTCTAAAATGTTCCTACCTCAAACCTACACAAGAAATCAGTTCCCCGCCTCTCACTTGTAACCTCTGATAGTATTTTTAGAATGAGACAAAGCAAGTACAAGAGATGCAATTACTTTAATACAAGAAAGCTATTACATGAAGTTTGACAAATGTCAACTGATGTTCGGGCCGCCATTTTGATACAGGTTCCATGTTGATAAAAATCTTAAAAGTTGTTTCTGAATTGTAAAATGGCTAACATTGTATCATTGCACATGTTATAGTTCAGACTTTGTAATTTTATAAAAACAGTAGAGGAAGAAAAGGGCACTAAAGGGGAAGTTCAATTTTGGCAAAAATGAAGTAGTGTTATAATGAAAGAAGCTGTTTTGCACATTGTTGTATTTCATTATTCTGAACTGTGCAACACTTGGAACTAGCAGGTGCCCAACATTCTTGAGAAATATACCCAGGTCTGCAGTCCACTCATCCACCATCATTATTTTAAGTCAGTTATGGCTGCATAATAACATACATTCGATAGAATTTTCTGGGAAGAGGAAAATATTCATCACTATGGCAACAAATCAGAGAAAATGTGCAAATGCAGAAAAAATTTATGGCTACGTGCCATTTAAAGGCAAAACAGCACAGCCTTCCTTTCTAATAACAAAAGGGAAGTCTTTAGGGAAAAGTGAGGGGACAGTTAGTGGAGCGTTACAAACAGAAAACATCAGAATAAGGGAAAAAAGAAAACCTCTCTCGAAGGCCAGGGGCGAAAAATCCAATTTGCCAGTGTCGGTTTTTTCACTTGCAAAGCAGGAGGAAGAAAAACAAGGTAGTCACCCAATCAGAAACCCTTGAATATACTAGTTCTTTAAAGTTTTATTTTGCTGTTTCATTTTTATATTTCACAGAAACATTGATTGTAATCAATGCACCTATGAAATATGAAGTGCGGCATGAAAATAAGATCAGGGAGCCTTGTCAAACAGAAAAAAATTTAATTTCTTTAACCAGTGGTGTTACACTCAAATGGAAACAGGAACATTAAATCATACATGAGGACCTCTGTGGGCTGCACAATGACTTAGAAAACTACACTTGTTTATATATTCCATTTTTAATACATCAATACATTAAACCAGATAATAACCAGGTAGAATACACTGTTTCCAATATATGTGAAGGTGTATCTGTATTCTCTCTCTCTCAGCTTTGTTCCCTATGCCATCCCATCTGGTAAACTTGTAAGATTTGTTTCGCCATGTACATGTATACATCCGAACTAGACTGTTTGTTTCCCTGTGTCATATAATATATGCATAATTTTGTATTTATTTATTTAGTCATGTTTATATAGTGTATATTAGAGGTGGAGACCCTTTGAGAGCTGTAAGCAATTATTTCATTTTAATGTATGCCAATTAGTGTACATTCAAATAAAGTTACAGTCTATGTATAGCAGACCTTGACTTACAACTGTGATTGACCCCTGTGCTGTCCAGCCAGTTATAGTTAATGGGAATTGGATAGTTAGTTAGGAATTGGGAGCTGTCCCCTTAAGGGAACGCATCATGGTAAATGTAGTTAAGGTATCCTGGGAAATGTAGTTCATGTGATGTGGTCACATCTGTAATCCTGATTGGTTACTGAATTGACCCTTGGTGGGTTGGGGGAGGTTTCTTCACTCTTGCTCGGACCCTAGCTTCATGCTAGCCTCTCTCCTTTGGCTCCACTATTATGGGATGAAATAAGGGATGGAAAGATTACTATCATTTTACACTATGATTTCAACTATGCAAAGAACTGGACATTAGATGCATCTCGACATAACTGAGAGTTACCTTGAGGATACCTAATATAATCCAATAAAAGAAACTTTGTATGGAAGAATTTGTAGAGTTATCTATCTGTCTTTATATTCAGCAAATGAATTAAAGGACAGGATTACCCCAGAATTAGTGTCATAAGTTGTGGCTGGGTTAAGTCGAGGCAACATGTGATTGACCATCTTTTCTCATGATTGTTAAGTGAACACCATGGTTAAATGATTCCATTTTCCCCAACTGGCATTTTTTTTACCAAAACCTGGAAGTAAATGCCATAAATTGGCAAAAAAAACCCTATGATGTGACTGCAGGATGTGACAAACAACCATAAAGATAATATAAACTAATTCATCACTAATAACTGCAATCAGTATTCTGTAAGAATTTAAAGGCCTGTCCCTCCCTTCCTACCTTCTCTGATATTATAATGACAGAAAAAGAAAAGAAAAAAAGTATTATAAACAAAGGCATTTACCACCTCTCCTTCATTTTGCTCCCATGATTCTATTTTAATTTGTTGCATTTTGAACAAATTTAGGTTATTAATAAGTTTATAATTGAAAGTTTTATAAAGTTAAAAAAGATGCAGACCTTGTGGAGCCTATATTAAAAAAAATGGGGGGGGGAACTAATTCAATCTGCTTTGGAGGAAGGAGAGAAATTAAATCTTTTGGGGAGGGAGAAGAGAAATGAATGTTATGTTTGGAGGGAAATGGGGATTCAACCTTTTTTTGAAATAAACAGAGATTAATTGAACCTGTTTTGGAGAAAGGTGCTCCTTCATGTACTGAAGGGTCTGGAATCCAGACCAGGTTGGCTATCAGTGCAAGGCCGCCTTCCCAAGGATTTAGGCTAGGCAGATGTTGCTTGACGGTGATTAAAGGTATCATCACAGGATGTAAACTGTTCCATGGAAAGCTGTCTTTTGCAATTGATTGGTGTTGATTTTGTCAATCCAAAGGTGAGGCTCCAGATGTTTTGGGATTGGGATTGCACTGAAAATGCCTAATACTATTGATAATACCTTTGTTTTCTTTTGCTATAGTCATTCTATTTGTATTTGTAGGTCTTTCTATTTTGTGTTTTTCTCCAGTTCTGCAGTATCATTCCAGTACTGCAATGTCCACTATCAAGACTTTTTTGTCTTTCTAATCAACAACTGTTAAATCTGGGGTGTTGTGCTTGTCTGTTTGAATTCTGAAGTCATGGAGCATTTTATTTTCTACATGTTTTATTACTTTGTTTGTTTTGTTCATCAGTTTTTGTTTGCAGGCATATACTATTTCTTGCAGATATTCCAATGCGCTATCATTACTGCTTTGCCACTAGTTAGCAATTTGAAAATTGTTGGTAAGCAGGTAATTCATCTGTAGTTGCTCCTTTTCTTGGCTCTTTCCTTATCAGGTAGGTTTCACCATATGTTAATCCATCTCCATTTTCACCTCTTTGCAGCATGTGGCTGCAATTAATGCTTGGCAATGAATGGGTGTAGACTAGTTAGATGTTTCAACCAAAAGCCATGCAGTTCATCTTCTCCTGGTGCCGTCCAAGTTTTGGTTATCCTTGCTCTTTTTCACACCATTTCTGCAGTTGTTACAAATGCTTTCGTTTCAGCTTATTTTTATACTAATCCACCTCCTTTATCCAAACTGTGCTCTTACTGTATATCTTTGTTCCATACATACACCCAGAACTGCACTGTTTTTTCTTTGTCAAGTGCTAACTGATTCACTGCAGTCTCTCCATTGATGGGATTGATAGAAATGTTTTTGATATTATCCCAATAAATTTATTTCCATTGCCTCAAAATTGAACATAAATTAAGCAGTTTTAATGCTTTCCAATTCTCATTCTATTATTGCCCAAATTATTTTATTATATATTATCATTTTATAACAGAAGATTTCTGGCCAGCTCACATGTTGGTCCTAAGTCATTTTGGGTTAAAAGAAGATGGAAGAGTTGCAATACAAAAGATTTGACAGAAGAAAAATGAAACACTCTACCAAGTCTGTGGTCCAAATTCTTCCTCTAACAAAAAGCAGATAATAACAATGTATTTGAAGATATATTTGTACTTAATTATTCTTTCTCGACCGTCCATCAGAAATTTTCCATAAGACTGATCAACTTTTGAGACATTAATTACATTTAGTTTATATAGATATATAAGATGTGTTTG